CGCTTCTTCGAACATGGAAGAAAAACCTAGCAAAGAGCGTTTCCTGCATGGATGTTCATATCAAACGATGAAGCAGTCAAATTTCTTTCTGTCAACTATACTAGTGGTTCTTGGAACCATGCATAAATGCACGACCCTACCTGTAATCCTGGTGCAAGCAGCTAAAAGTGACTAGTAACAAATGATGTTACACTCGTGCTAAAGGTCGAGTGTTTCACTTGCCACTGAGATAACCATCCTCATGCAACTTATTTACTTGTTTACTCGTTTCGGTGAGAAATCAGTGGTTGTACATATCAGAGGATTAAACCATCATTATCGTGCAACCCTTAGAAGAGGGAGCCCCTGAGCCTTTTGCAAAAAGCCAATATTCCCAACAAATGTCTGCTGTCAACTTCAGCCACCATAGAAGATGTTTTCGGGTGTCTCAGTCTCTAACATGGAGGGCTTTATGTAATGAGTTTCGACCATGACTTTCGAGACCTCATTTTTAATTTGCTGCATCTAGTTTAACTGACTCTTGCTATCAGATAAGTGATTTTTGCTCTTCTTAGCGTCGAGAGAGAACAGCCTTCCTTATGTCTTGTGGGCAGTGTTTGGTACGATATTTTTAACATGTCTGGAGCGTTTTGCGGAAGGCTCAGGGTCAAGAAATGTTATGGAATGCCTCAAGCACTTTTTCAATTTCTTTCTACCAAAATTTATTCTATTTCATAAGGACATATAAATTTAAGATACAGTCAAAAGTTGCCAAAGAATTTATAGAATAGAAACATTTTTAAACAAACTAACGTATAAGGGCCGCTTTTTCTTTCCTCGTGGTATACGCGAAAATCGCCACAGTGTCGTCTTGGTCGATACAGTTCACAGTCGTTACCCTCATAATAATGATTACAAGTGCAGAAGTAAGAGCCTGAGAAGCAAATTTTTTTTAACTCTTGTAAAAATTTAAAACTTTTAAATAGGCACTGAGTGCAAATGCATTATTGAAAAATTTACATTGGCGGCTATGAATTTATCATGTTTGGTTGCTGTCAAATAATTTATCTTAACTAAATGTGTTTCCTTTCTAGGCTTTAATGCGATATCGCTTAGATATTTGGGATGTGACCGCTCTAATGCGAAATGTCGTCGAGTTATTTTAATGCTTCGCTTACTAATAAATTCGAAGTAATATCGAATGCACTGCATCATGATCCTTCGAGGCACTGGTTTGGTAAGACTTACCCTCTGTATTGGTGCAGACTCCTTGATTTTTGTCCGCATTACAAGTTCGCGGGTCCTCACATTCATCGATGTCTTCACAGGTGAAACCGTCTCCTTCATATCCCTGAAAAGAGTGATGCAAATGCAACGGAGTAGAGCCATAAGAAGGCAGCTTTAGATAGAACTGATGAAAAACTCCCTAAAAAAAA